CCACCCCCCCCCCCCCCCTCCCCCAAATTGTCAAAGATATATACATGCATCCTTCATTTTCTTTAATATATCTATGTCAAAGAGGTATGATATGAGTACGGTACTTACAGAAGATTCTTTAAAAGACACTAACCCCACCCCCAAAAAAATAAAAAGAAAACATGTACCTGTAGTCCTTTACTGAATACTTGCACAGTTCCATATCGGGTTACCAGTAGCAGTCAGTGTAATGTCGGTCTACCTTCCTTCCCTGATCTTTTTGGTTTTTTCTTTATTTTATCTTGGCTTTGCTTGGTCGTTTATTTCTTATCGTTTATTTTCTTTTCTAACTTTAATTTCATATTGTGTTTCCAATAACATTTTCCCACTCATTCATATGGAATATAGTACTTTTTTTGGTGATGTTTCTGACATTAGGTGGCTGAATCTTTGAAAGACGCACAGTCCAATACAAAATGGAGAAAAAATGGGCACAAGAAAATTGCAAGTATGATATGTGCTTACTTCAAAATTAGAAATTTCGAATCAACAACCAAGAAATACTGACATCTTAATTTGAGCCGAACAAGAAAGTTATGTTCATTTCAGACTAGAATCTAAGGGTAGGAATTAAATTGCTCCCCTCTGAATCCAGTTCAAGGGGATTCTTATTGAGGCATCACCACTTAGGCACAATTAGCACACTAATCTGTGTCTGGTATCCAAGCCGATTGGACAGATGAGAACCATCACTCCATTTTCATGCTCAGTTAATGAGCTTCAGATCATTGTTATACATGACATCTCTGCCACTACAATGATAAACCCTGAAGAACCTAAGCTATTATAGCCTTAAAAAAATCAAGTACGAAATGCAATTTAGTTGTTATGCACACTAGCATGCAAATGAGGATATCAATGTTTTATCCTTGAAAATGAAGTTACTCTATACCGCTTTAGAACAAAAGATCCATTAATCGTGAAATGAAAAGGCACTATTTTGGGATATATTACACTTCTATCTTAAGAAGTGATCAAATCAATTAAAATAATAAAATTCGGTTCTCATTCTTTTGTTCCATGCTGCAATTAAAGATTGCACATCAATATTTTTTCATCAACTCTAACTGACTGAGAGAGTGAGTGGCGGGCCAGGACCCAATTGTTACAAAAAGCAACCCAAAAAAGAAAGGGACAGCGGGGAAAGGGAAAAAAGAAACATAAAAGAGCAGGCCATGTGTGTCTTGTTAATTTCAATTACCGGTTTTTACTTTTCAAGTATGGGCAGTAACATGAGAAGCAGAAAATCGCACTGGATACCTCAACCCCTTAAGGTACAGCTTCTAAACCCTGAATATTATTAGATTGAACTGGTCATCTCAGGCTTGTAGTTGAACCTATCACTCACCCAACTCTTAGATAATTGGGCAGGTTTACAACATCATATGCCTAAATTGACAGCCTCTTCTCTGGCTAGGCCTTTTGTTTTGTGGTGCTTCCGCACATCACTAACTATAGCATGGAAAACTGTGATTAGTTAAGAGGAATAAAATGCACTAACCTCAGCAGCCACTTTTCTTGCATCTAACAAATCGGCTTTATTTCCGGCAAGTGCCATCACCATATTTGGATTACCTGGGGCCAGCGTGAGATAGAAAAAAGTAAGACATATGAACACGCAATATGTTTTATTGAAAGAACACTGATGTATGCATCACATAAGAAAAGGAACCAGTGCTTAGTTCCTTTGATATGGTTGTGTGACAACTTTCAAGTTCAGACACCCATGGGTGAAGCACTATTTCCAATCCATCCCCTCATATTACCCACCAATTGAGAGCCAAAAGTTCAAAGAGTTTTTCAGCATTTTTTGGCCATCAAACTTTATCGTAACTCAAGCAGCTGAAACTTTCCCTAATTATACATCAACTATTTCTTACATTAATTGAAGTTAGGAACATTTAAATACAGCCTTACAATAATGAGTCTTAAAATGTCAAAGGTACCTTGTGCTTGAAGCTCCTGAACCCATTTTTTTGCTCTATCAAATGATGCCTATCAATAATGAATTGAGAATCTTAGTTACCAAAGCTAACATGCTAGCACCAACTGGAAGCAGTCTAGAGTGAATTATAAGGATTTGATAGAATCTGGTTAAAAACTTACTTGATTTGTTATATCATAAACAATTATAGCAGCTGCAGCTCCTCTGTAATACATTGGAGCTAGACTGTGGTATCTCTCTTGGCCTGCTGTATCCCATATTTCAAATTTTACAGTTGCATCATTTACTGCTACTGTTTGGGAGAAAAATGCAGCACCTATGGTTGATTCCTACATATAACATAAGCAAGTTACGTCAAGTCTCAAGGTCCCAATTTTAAAAATGTAAGTTCAGAAACCATTCAGCTTCACATATCAAATGTCAAACTAAGCACCTACCTGAAATTCAATAAATTGTCCTTTAACAAAACGCAGAACTAGACTAGACTTTCCAGCTCCAACATCTCCAAGGAGCACCTAAAACCAAAAGACACTTCATTAGCTTATCAGTGTCAGGGTCAACACATAAAGTTCATAAACTTGCAGTTTAGAAAAAACTACATCATTAGAATAATCCTTTTTTATCAGGACCACATCATTAGAATAAGTGAAACAATGATCCCCTAGTGTAAAGTGTATTTATTGAAACAGAACACCAAACATTAAAAGATGGAAGCAGTAAATGGGGAAAAGGAGCACAGAAAAATTGAAATTCAAGATTGGAAGTACTAATCAATAATCATAGTACGAATAACATGGATTATCATGAACAATAGGTACGCACTTGAAGAAGTAAAAGAGGATTCCAAGTCATGGCAAAAGTAAGTATAATATATTCCAAACAAGCAACACTTCCACAACATAGCATCAGCAAATAATAACCAAGTGAAAGTATCAAATTTAGCAAATTAGAGTACAAATAAACAAACTTTGTCAGCAAGGCAAAATTTTGAGAAAGAAAAAAAAACCCATATCAAATTTGTTGATATAAAACACAAAGCGCAATAAATCATTCAAATTGAGGAACTTTTTGTGATCAAACCCAAAACCCAAAATAAACAAAATACTATAGGTCATGAGTTATGATTCTGAAGAATAAAAGAGGACCCAGATCAGAGATAGAAAAAAGAAAGAATCTTGATGGAATTTAAGCTGAAACCATATGCAGAATTGATAATTCAAAGATGAGAAGGAAGCACACCAATTTGGCGTTCATATTTTTGTTTCCACTGGTCGCCATAGCTATGATTGATCGAAATTGGGAAAGCGGAAAGTGATTTTTTGAAGATTTACAATCGATTAGGGTTCTGATCAGAATTTAGACTTCACAAAGACGGAAAGAGGAAGAAGAAGGGTTGACGTCAAGAAATTGCAAAAAAAAAAGGGACACTCAACCAAAGTTGTTTCTCTCTCTTGTTGATGAATAATGATGAAGAAAAGATTCTTTTTATTGTATCTCGAAATTTCCTCATTTTTTTATTCGTTTGATTTTTTCTATAAAACAGAAAACAGAAAAAAGAAAAAATAATGCAAATTTGCTACGTATTTTTCCACCTTCCATCCACCTTTCCTCTTTTTCTCATCTCATCAATAAATGAAAAAAAAAAAGCATACGAAGGTTTGAACGTAAGATATAATGGAAGCTTAGTAGGTAGTTGTGTGATTTACCTAATATTTTTACGTGAATGAGACGTGAAAGTCTCCCTTTTTTCCCTTCTTATTAGTAATAAATATAGTATAGTATTTTTTTACTTTTTTTTTTTGTTAATTATTGTTTTATTAGTTGTGTTTATCTTGTCATTTTGTCATCATTATTTTGCATTTTAACTTGTTTCGTTTCATTGGTTGTGTTTATTTTTCCATTTTAATATTGTTAATCTTCTAAATTGTTTTGGTAGTTCTAATAAATATAATGTGTCATTGTATGATGAGGGTCTACCAATAATAGTGTATCTATCCTATAAAGGTAGAAAACGAGATTTTGTTTTGATATGAACATTGGTCATACATAAATAAAACTTGATAAATGGGGTAGAATTAAAAATTACAAACTTGAAGGAGTTGCACGTAATTAACCCAACCGGGGCCCTTTTTTATTTTTTTGAGTAATAAGACGCCAACGCTTACCTACTACTTTGACTTCTATTAGAACTTCTGCTTAGTGTCGGCTATTGACCAACAATTATTCAAGCAGTAAGTACGAAAAAAAAATACGTAACTAAAGATTGTAGTTATAAAAAGAACCAATAATATATCCAACATAAAGCATATGGAGTTAAAACTTGAATAAAATTAAAGGAGAGTAATGCAGGTGGTTTTGCCTGTCCCTAATAATGAGGTATGTTCTGGTACTATACACAGATTGGGGAAAAGGCAAGAGTTGTGTGTTATATCTCCAGTAACAGAGGGGGTTGGCTACTAAGTGCTAAGTGACTCGAATAAGTAATACAACCATGACAAAGACTAATGTCATGACAAAAATCAAAAGCCACTGGAAGCATGTAGTCTTGAAACTCCGAGAATAGACGTCCATAGCTCTGGAAGTTGCATGCCCTGTACTTGCCAGACTATGCTCAACTGCTTTCTCAGTTGAATCGAGTATCTGCATCCACATTGTATATGACAATTATGAGGCCATACTACAGTTTTTTGTTTCTTTTTTGCACTGAATTAGTAAAGAATCCTCAAACATGTAGTAATATCAGAGATAGACTAATAAATATTGTTGAGTCAGAAAAGATAAGATAGTTTGGGTTATCAATTGCATCCTTACTAGCAAACTAGTTAGATTGGAAACGGCAAAATCATTCTCAAAGCAAAAACTGTTTGAGGAAGTTCCCAACAATTTATTTAAGCAAAGTGAAATGAAACAAAAAAAAAACTTACTTTCTCAGTATTTTTGATGGATTGATTCATCATGAGACTGCTCTCTTTGAGCTGCCGGGCCAAAACAACCATTTCATCAGTCAAATCCTCCTGAAGTTTCCTGCAAAAGATGACAACATCTGATAGTTTATCAAGTAGACTCCACCTAACAGCTAACTAACCTCACCCCTCTCTGAGAAAAATAAATATTGCACAAATAAGTGATTACTTTCTCTGGTTACTTTTCCTCCTACAATGAAAAAGACTGGACAAGCATATGGCAGCCATGAGTCGGTCTAGGATTTATCTTACCATCTCTAAAATTAAAACAGAACTTAATTTTGGATTCTACAGATGAAGTCTAAACTATAGGAGGAAACAACAACCTTTGTGCGCTAATGTTCATCTATATACCATAATTTGCATAACAACCTTCCCCACAAAGCGTCATCTTCTTGGTTCTATCTTCACAACCGTTTCCAACTCCCACACTCCACACACACACCTTTTCCTCTCTTTTTTCAGTATTAACACAACTTTTTGACTTGTGGTTGCCTTCCCATGAAATGTTCTTTCTTCTTTTGTCCAAATATTTCAAAAAATTATCAGGCACTAGAAACAAAGACATAAAGTAGGGTGGACTGATGTCTAACTCTAATCAACTGTTTATGAGTTAATCTTCCCCACATTGACAAATATTTTTTCTTTCAATTTACAAACCTTTTCAAACTTTTCCTGTACTTCAATAGAATTATGCTTTTCTCCTAAAGGGAGCTCCGAATACATTGAATTCTCCTACTTTTGCACCCAGATATATTTGCAAGTGTTAGCTTATAATCCATACTACTAATAGGACACATCATACATTGCTTAGGTTTATATTCAAACCTGAAACAACTTTCATAGCCAAATCAACCACCGTAAGGAACATCATATGTTTTTCCTTGTTTAACACATTAACAGTGCATCATTGGCGTAGAAACTATGTGAGTATTTATGTTAGTCTTCTTATTTTCCAAAAAGATAGATTTCAAGTTATTGTCCTCTGGACCTACCTTAAATCCACTAAAACATCATTTCTCCATTGTCTAGTCCAATATTTCACCAAGACATTTCAGTAACAGGTATAGGAAGAAGATCTGCCTAGCTCGAGATAAGAAAAATCAGCATAACTCCTATTTACTAATGTAGAAAATTTAAAAGAGAAACACAATAGTTTATCCATCTCCTGATTTCTATCAAAATCCATCTCTTTAAGCAAAACCGAACTTAACAGAGAAACACAATAGTTTATCCAACTCCTCGATTTCTATCAAAATCCATCTCTTCAAGCAAAACCGACCACTTCACATGGCCACTTCTCTACATCTAATTTACAACGGACACCTACTTTTCATTGTCTTCTTCTACAGTCCAACTTCTCATTAGCAACTAAGTTGATCTTATTATCTGCCTCCATTCACAAAAGCATAGTGACATCGAACTACTTTAGTAAATATTAACTTCGACCTTACAAATACCTATGTTAGTATGTTATCCATGAGAATACTCACATAAATCTTTTTGAGTTTTTTTCTTCTTTTTTTTGGGGGGTGTGGGGGGGGGGGGGGGGGGGGGGGGGGGGGTTAGAGTATTCCTACACTGTTCTACTTATATTTAACTAGATCAACTACACCATAAGAGCAGATATCTATTACACCTTTTTTTTTAGATGACGCATACCTACTACACTTTTAGTCACACATGGCAAGCTGTACCTTCTCAGGAACAGATACACATTGGGAAAGCCTTGGTGGAACAGAAGTCAACAAAAAAAAAACTGTCTATAAATATTAATACAGAAAAGAAGTACAGATAGAGCACCTGTGCTTCTCAATATGTGTCCGTGCAGCATCATCCAGTTTGACTGCAGCTGATGATTGATCAGAATCAATGGTATCTCGAGATCTCTCCTCATTGTTTGAATGGACCCTATTTCATTCAAAGAACAACGGTCAAGAGAGAGAATTATAAAATGACACATTGCAATGGCTAAAATGCAGGTACCCAAATCTTCTTCTCAATCCTTCAGAAGCAGAATTCACACTTTCTTCTGCTTTAGGAGTTCCACTGCTGGAAGTCTCAGCCACAGGTTCCTCGGGTGTATGCACATCAGACTGGATGTGGTTGAAGATAATTTATTTGTTAATCATATAAATAGAAGCAAAAATATTTTCAAATAACTACCAGCATATGTCTATAATAAGTTGAAAGGTGACTCCAGAAGAGAAGACTGAACCACGTTCAAAAACATCAAAAGAACAGAGGTATGGCAACAGAAGTAACAGTAAGGATAATGAAGTCTGAAATGCTGAGCGCTATGGACTAAAATTCAAGTACAGTCTATTTGATAAAAAAAAATGGCAGCTCCTTCATATTCCATCAAAATCAGTAAAATACCTCAATATGATATGTTTTCATATAAGAAAGCAAGGTGAATCTGAATGGTAAATCACAAGAAATGACACTAGCACATGCATACCATGGGCACAGCTAACTTGGCAGCAACAGCTTCAATGTTCTCAGCATATTCATTCACCTTGGCTTTTGAAACCCTATATTGGGAGACAACATGAAAATTGAACACACATCAGGAAGAAAGCATCTAGTAAATTTATTTTTTTAAAAATAAAAAAGAGATCCAATAAAAACATACACCCTCAAGCAAAGTATTTCAAGCATTACATCAATCTATATTAGCTTTTTTAATACAGGAAAAACTCTCATGACTAGTTTATAGAAGTTAAAAACGTTCTCCTCATACAGTAAAGAAAAAATTTAGAGTTGGTAGAAGTATATGGCTGAAGTTCTATTCTAAACACAGGAAGACAATAATTCTTTTTATGTCATCCCTGGTCCTTTCACGGATAACAAAAGCAGAAAAATGCAGAAAATAACTGCTAACACACCACCAAACGGTCTGTGTTAGAATAGGAATAGATTTATACAATCCTATTAGAATAAGAATATGTTTATACAATTCTATTAGAATAGGAATAGTAATAGAAATAGGAATACTAAATAGTATTCTACTTGGTAAAGGATTGTATTCTAGGGTCTATAAATAGGATCTCAATGTAATAATGTACACAACAACAATTTAATAATATTATTTTCTTATATTTCTCACATGGTATCAGAGCCTCTACGATCTTGGTAAACAATCAAAGAGCTTCCGCTGCCGGCGGGCAGCTATTATCCATATATGCTGCCCGTCCGGCCAACGATTATGTTAGCAAAAGTTGGGTCACCGTGTATTTTTCTGGTGACTATTCTCATATTTAATTTCTGTAGCACCGTGCGATCTTTCTGGTGACTACTTTTTCATATCTGGTTTGCGTAGCACCGCGCCATCATTTTGGTGACTACTTTTCATATTTAATTTGCGTAGCACCTTATTATCCTTCCAGTGACTACCTTTTTTTGCATATCTTATTTGCGTAGCACCGTGCATCTCTCCGGACTACTTTTCATATTTAATTTGTGTAGTACCGTGGATTTTTCCGAACTACTTTCTCATATCTGAGTTGCATAGCATCATGTGTCTTTTCAGTGACTCCTCAGATTTAATTTGCATAGTTCCATTCGTCTTTCCG